CGCGCCTGTAGTTCCAGCTACTTGGAAGGCTGAGGCGGAAGCATCGCCAGAGCCCAGCAGCTCGAGGCTGCGGTGGCCCGGAACGTGCCACTGCACTCCAGTCTGGGTGACAGAGTGAGACTCCAACTCAAAAAAAAAAAAAATTGAAGATGGTCAGGCACAGTGGCTCAAGCTGTAATCCCAGCACTCCGGGAGGCCAAGACGAGAGAATTGCCTGAGACAAGGGGGTTCAAGACCAGCCTGGGCAACTTGGTAATCCCTCACCTCTACAATTAAAAAAAAAAATTAGCTGGGTATGGTGGCTCACACCTATAATCCCAGCACTTTGGGAGGCCGAGGTGAGGGGACTGCCTGAGCCCACAGGTTCGAGGCCAGCCTGGGCAATTTGGTGAGACCTCCTCTCTATCATAAATAAAATTAGTGGGGCATGGTGGCGCATGCCTACAGTTCCAGCTACTTGGAAGGCTAAGGTGGAAGGATCGCCTGAGCCCAGCAGATAGAGGCTGCAGTGGCTGTGAGCATGCTACTACACTCCTGGGCAATAGAGTAAGACTCTGACTCAAAAAATAAAATATAATCCCCACATATTTAAGATAAAAAGTTATAAACAAACACACGATAACAATTTAGAAACACTCAACAGCAAAAAAAACGTGTAGCACAAACTAACATTTTATAGGCCTGGATGCCAGGATCAGTGTGAGAGGACACCTGCTAACAGCTTGAATCGCAGAAAGGAACAGATAAACCCAAGTACTAACACCAGATACATTCTGGAGAAACAGAAGCAAAGCAGATTTTCAAAAAGTAGAAGCTGGAAAGGGGCAGCTTATACTTGGGGTCAAGAGCACTGGACTCTGCAGTCAAGAACACATGGACTCACTTCCATCTCTTTTTTTTTTTTTTTGAGTTAGAGTCTCACTCTGTCACCCAGACTGGAGTGCAGTGGCCACTCCCGGCCACCGCAGCCTCGACCTGCTGGGCTCCGAAGTAGCTGGAACTACAGGCACACGCAACCACGCCCGGCTAATTTTTGATTTATTGTAGAGATGAAGTCTCGCCAAGTTGCCCAGGCGGGTCTTGAACCCGCAGGCTCAGGCAATCCACTCACTTCAGCCTCCCAAAGTGCTGACCTTACAGGCTGAGCCACCGAACTTGGCTCAATTCCATCTTTAACTGCTGTATGAATTTGGGCAAATCCTTTATTTCTCTAAGAGTTAGCTGCTTCATCTAAAAAATACTCAGCCTGTAATTCCGTGCTTTGGGAGGCTGAGGTGAGTGAATTGCCTGAGCCCGCGGGTTCGAGACCCGCCTAGGCAACTTGGCAAGACCTCATCTCTACAATAAATAAAAATAATTAGCTGGGCATGGTAGCGCGTGCCTGTAGTTCCGTTACCTGGAAGGCTGAGGCGGAAGGATTGCCGGAGCTCAACAGGTCTAGGCTGAGGTGGCCAGGAGCGGCCACTGCACTCCAGTCTGGGTGACTGAGTGAGACTCCAACTTAAAAAAATAAAAAATTAAAAAAAAAAAAAAAAAATATATATATATATATATATATAAGAAATAAATAAAAGCAGTACTATGGACCTCATAGGGTTGGTTTGTTGGGGTTTTTTTTTTTTTTTTGAGACGAGGTCTCGTTATGTTGCCCAGACTGGTTTCAAACTCCTGGGTTCAAATGATCCTCCTACCGTGGCCTTCCAGAGCTGGGATTACAGGCACACGCCACCATCCCAACCCTTTCAAAGAATGGTAATGAGAAAAAATGTTAAATTTTAGTATAGTGCCTGTCCCATGCTGGAGTGCAGTGGTTTACTCACAGTCACTGCAGCCTCAACCCATTGGGCTCAGGCGATCCTTCAACCTCAGCCTTCCAAGTAACCGGAATTACAGGCATGTGTCACCACGCCCAACTAAGTTTTTGATTTATTGTAGAGACGAGGTCTCACCAAGTTGCCCGGGCTGGTCTAGAACCCCTGATCTCAGGCAATTCTCTCACCTTGGCCTACCAAAGTGACAGGCTTGAGTCACATCTTTTCAAAATGTACAAAGAAATCAAAATGGAATTTTTCAGAGATATTCTGCCAAAAGTGCCTCTGAATTCTCTAGGATCAGAGTTGGCCATTCTGAAAGAGTTGAAAGTTTTATAAAAGGGGTATCTGTATGTGTGCATTAGCAGATGAAACACTAACTGTTCATGAACTCAGTGTTTGAGATTTTTCCCCCTATACTCCTTTTACTGACACCAGTGTTTGTTTTTCACTTAACAACGTGAAGAATCCTTAAGGGAATCTGCCTTGCCATCCTGTCTCCAAATCCCTTCTCCACCTCCCTAAGAGATGGTCACCTAGGCCAGGCGCAGTGGTTCATGCCTATAATCCCAGCACTTTGGGAAGCCAAGGTGAGAGGATTACCTGAGCTCACGGGTTCAAGACCAGCCTGGGCACCTTTGTGAGACTGATCGCTACAATAAATAAAAAAATTAGCCGAGCATGGTGGTGCATGCCTGTAGTTCCAGCTACTCAAAAGGCTGAGGAGGAAGGATCACCTGAGCCCAGCAGGTCGAGACTGCACTGGCCGTGAGTGTGTCACTGCACTCCAGCCTGGGCGACAGAGTGAGACTCCAACTCACAAAAAAAGAAAAGAGATGGCCACCCAAGTCCAGGACAGCAATGCTCAGCCCTGGCAGGCCCTCTTCTCCTGACATGCTCTCTTCCTCACATCAGCTTGGCTACTCACAGCAGCTTCTACTCTTGGCTCTAATTCTGCCCCTCTGGGCACACACAGAGAAAGCCTGCTCCCTCCTCCACATGACCACCCTTGGAGGATCCGAAAACAGTTGTCTGGCTTTAGTTTTCTCTTCTCACTACAGAAAGAGGATAAACCAAGGTACCTGCGGAGATGTTGCAAGAGTGAAGGGGTGTGATGGAGCCATTTTGCTTTCTGTCATCCCAAATGCCCCAACTAGCTGGCCCTTCCCCATCCCAAGTCCATCCAAATCAAAGTGGTTGAAAATATGTTAGTTGAGGCAAATTCTAGAATTCGCCTGAACCCTATATCTGGTAACCATCCTCACCCAGCCAACCCCTCCCGTGTTCCCCCAGACTCATACCAGTAGTGATTTGCATTCACGAATGTCAGTTGAAAGGCCAACAGACCATACAGGTAGGAGTGGTTGTTCCATGATGTCTTGTCCAGGAGAAACACGTACCAGTATGGCAGCAGGAATAACACACAGCTTATCCGATAGCACAGGCCCAGCATCATGCCCAGTGCACCTGGGATTTGTGGGAAGAGGATTCAGAAGTCAAGGAGTCGCCACAGACCCAGCTTCCCTGGGACAGGATGTGGCTGGGGTTAAGAAAAGTCATCAGGCATTTCACAATCAGATAAAACTAAAAGAAAACTAAACTTCACTATTTTAAAGTGAAGAGCTATGCGATCACAGCTCAGATGGCACAGGTCAGAAGCATGAAAGTGAATCACAGCAGGCCAGGCTCAGTGGCTCAGCCTGTAATCCCAGCACTCTGGAAGGCCAAGGCTAGTGGATTGCCTGAGCCTGCGGGTTCAAAACCTGCCCGGGCAACTTGGCGACACCTCGTCTCTACAATAAATAAAAAAAATTAGCTGGGCGTGGTAGCGTGCACTTGTAGTTCCAGCTACTCGGAAGGCTGAGGCAGAAGGATCACCGGAGCCCAGCAGGTCAAGGCTG